TCGCCTTCCTCCCCCTTCGAGTCCTCCCTCGTTCGAGTCTCCTCCCCTTCATACCCCCGCCCCACCGCAACAATGGGCGGCGAATCCTCGCTGGCAGCCGTCGCTGCCGTCGTCAAACGCATCGCGACCGACCCGACAACGACGCCACCATCCCTCGCGGGCCGCCTCTCCATGGTGACCCTTCCCGGCCCCGAGACCCCCGACAAGGCGGAGCTTGAGCGCGAGCTGGCCGCCCTCGTGCTGCGTGTACAGCAGCTCGAGATTCGCGCAAACATGGCCGCCGCCCACATGTTCCCCGATACCCCCAACGAGACGGCCGACTCGCCCTTCGCCGACGACAATTGCACCCCGCGCCCCAAGTTCTCCGCCAACCTCCCCCCAAACGGCGCCATCGATGGCTCCGCCCTCGAGAGCCTGCGCGGCTGTGTCGACGGCCAGTCCGAGATGCTCAACAAGCAGCGCAAGGAGCTCGACGGCGTCAACGCACAGCTCCTGGAGCAGAAGCAGCTGCAGGAGAAGGCCCTCGCCATCATGGAGCAGGAGCGCGTCGCCAACCTCGAGCGCGAGCTCTGGAAGCACCAGCTGGCCAACGAGGCCTTCCAGAAGGCCCTGCGCGAGATCGGCGAGATCGTCACCGCCGTCGCCCGCGGCGACCTCTCCAAGAAGGTCCGCATGAACAGCGTCGAGATGGACCCCGAGATCACCACCTTCAAGCGCACCATCAACACCATGATGGACCAGCTGCAGGTCTTTTCCAGCGAGGTCTCCCGTGTCGCCCGCGAGGTCGGCACAGAGGGCATCCTCGGCGGCCAAGCCCAGATCGAGGGTGTCGACGGCACATGGAAGGAGCTTACAGACAATGGTGCGTTGGTCATCCTCATTTTTTGGTCCTTTCTATTTGCTGACTCGGAAATACAATCTAGTCAACGTCATGGCGCAGAACCTCACGGACCAAGGTACGTCTACCTGCATTTGCCACGCGGCCATGCCACGCGAACCGCGGTGCGGAACAGCCCACTAACCACCATCACTCCCACAGTGCGCGAGATCGCATCCGTCACCACCGCCGTCGCACACGGCGACCTGACCAAAAAGATTGAACGCCCCGCCAAGGGCGAGATTCTCCAGCTCCAGCAGACCATCAACACCATGGTGGACCAGCTGCGTACATTCGCCTCTGAAGTCACCCGCGTCGCCAGAGACGTCGGCACTGAGGGCATGCTCGGCGGCCAGGCCGACGTCGAGGGAGTCCAGGGCATGTGGAACGAGCTAACAGTCAACGTGAACGCCATGGCCAACAATCTGACCACCCAAGTGCGCGATATCATCAAGGTCACCACCGCCGTCGCCAAGGGCGACCTCACCCAGAAAGTCCAAGCCGAGTGCCGAGGTGAAATCTTTGAGCTCAAGAAGACCATCAACTCCATGGTGGACCAGCTGCAGCAGTTTGCGCGCGAGGTCACCAAGATTGCCAGGGAAGTCGGAACCGAGGGGAGACTAGGCGGCCAGGCCACCGTCCACGACGTCCAGGGCACCTGGCGCGACCTGACCGAGAATGTCAACGGCATGGCCATGAACTTGACCACCCAAGTGCGCGAGATTGCAAAGGTCACAACTGCCGTCGCCAGGGGTGACCTGACCAAGAAGATCGGGGTCGAGGTTCAGGGTGAGATCCTGGATCTGAAGAACACAATCAACACCATGGTGGACCGCCTGGGCACCTTTGCCTTTGAGGTCAGCAAGGTCGCCAGGGAGGTCGGCACGGACGGAACGCTTGGTGGCCAGGCCCAGGTCGACAATGTCGAGGGCAAGTGGAAGGATCTAACAGAGAATGTCAACACCATGGCCCGGAATCTTACGTCTCAGGTATGTCGGATGAATGAGTTCCCACTATGTGTGAATTTGACTAATAATGCCGTCTCAGGTGCGAGGTATCTCGACCGTCACGCAGGCCATCGCCAACGGCGACATGAGCCGCAAGATCGACGTCGAAGCCAAGGGGGAGATACTCATTCTGAAGGAAACCATCAACAACATGGTTGACCGCCTGTCCATCTTCTGTAACGAGGTGCAGAGAGTCGCCAAGGATGTCGGCGTCGACGGCATCATGGGTGGCCAAGCCGACGTGGCGGGCTTGAAGGGCAGATGGAAGGAGATTACGACGGATGTCAATACCATGGCCAACAATCTGGTGAGTCGCGTTTCCCGTTTCCCCGTAAATTTGTAATGTGATTTTTCTGATTTACTCTTCCTAGACTGCCCAAGTGAGAGCATTCGGCGACATTACAAACGCCGCAACAGACGGAGACTTTACCAAGCTCGTCGAGGTCGAAGCCTCGGGCGAGATGGACGAGCTCAAGAAAAAGATCAACCAGATGGTGTACAACTTGCGGGACAGTATCCAGAGGAACACGCAGGCCAGGGAGGCGGCCGAGCTGGCCAACAAGACCAAGTCCGAGTTCCTCGCCAACATGTCGCACGAGATCCGCACGCCCATGAACGGCATCATCGGCATGACGCAGCTCACGCTTGACACGGACCTGACGCAGTACCAGCGCGAGATGCTCAACATTGTCAACTCGCTGGCCAACAGCCTGCTGACCATCATCGATGATATCCTGGATCTGTCCAAGATCGAGGCCCGCAGGATGGTGATTGAGGAGATCCCCTACACGCTCCGCGGCACCGTCTTCAACGCGCTCAAGACCCTGGCCGTCAAGGCGAACGAGAAATTCTTGGACCTCACATACCGTGTCGACAGCTCTGTGCCGGACCACGTCGTCGGCGACTCGTTCAGGTTGCGGCAGATCATCCTCAACCTGGTCGGCAATGCCATCAAGTTCACCGAGCACGGCGAGGTCAGCCTGACGATCCAGAAGGCGTCGCAGGTGCAGTGCGGGCCGGGCGAGTACGCCATCGAGTTCATCGTGGCCGACACAGGCATCGGGATCCCGGCGGACAAGCTGGACCTTATCTTCGACACGTTCCAGCAGGCCGATGGGTCCATGACGCGCAAGTTTGGCGGCACGGGCCTCGGCCTGTCCATCTCGAAGCGGCTCGTCAACCTGATGGGCGGCGACGTGTGGGTCAAAAGCGAGTACGGCAAGGGCAGCAAGTTCTACTTCACGTGCGTGGTGCGGCTGGCGCACGACGAGATCTCGCTCATCTCGAAGCAGCTGAGCCCGTACAAGGGCCACCAGGTGCTCTTCATCGACAAGGGCCGGACCGGCCACGGCCGTGAGATCATAAAGAAGCTCGAGGCACTCAGCCTCGTGCCGATTGTCGTCGACTCAGAGAAGAACCCGGCGCTGGAGAAGGCGCGCGGGTCGCAGAACTCGCCGTACGACGTCATCATTGTCGACTCGATCGAGGACGCCCGCCGCCTGCGCGCCGTCGACGACTTCAAGTACCTCCCCATCGTGCTGCTCGCGCCCGTGGTGCACGTCTCGCTCAAGTCGTGCCTGGACCTGGGCATCACGTCGTACATGACCACGCCGTGCCAGCTGATTGACTTGGGCAACGGGATGGTGCCGGCGCTGGAGAATCGGGCGACGCCGTCGCTGGCGGATAATACGCGCTCGTTTGAGATCTTGTTGGCGGAAGATAATACCGTGAATCAGAGGCTGGCCGTCAAGATCCTGGAGAAGTATCACCATGTTGTCACGGTGGTTGGGAATGGCGAGGAGGCGGTCGAGGCGGTCAAGAGGAAGAAGTTTGATGTGATTTTGATGGATGTGCAGATGCCGATTATGGTGGGTTTCCTCGCCTCCTTTTATCCCTTCCCCACGCATACCCCCAAACATAACTAACACTCCATCTCCAGGGCGGCTTCGAAGCAACCAGCAAAATCCGCGAGTACGAGCGCAGCCTGGGCAGCCAGCGGACGCCCATCATCGCCCTGACCGCCCACGCCATGATGGGCGACCGCGAGAAGTGCATCCAGGCGCAGATGGACGAGTACCTGTCGAAACCGCTGCAGCAGAACCACCTGATCCAGACGATCCTCAAGTGTGCCACGCTGGGCGGGCAGCTGCTGGAGAAGAATCGGGAGAGGGAGCTGGCGCGGACGGCGGATGCCGTTGCGGGGGGGCGCAGGGATAACCCCGCGCTTGCGACGGATAGGTCGGCGAGTTTGAGGGCTGCGGGAGGGTTGAGTGTGGGTGGCACGAGGGCGTTGACGGCTGCGGAGGTGTTGGCGTTGGCGGCGGCCGATGGGGGGTTGGAGAGTGGGGAGGAGGATTTGGTGGAGAGGGCTACGAGGAGTGTATTGTGAGGTGTGAAATATGAACCGCGGGGGGGTATGGGTTGGTTGGGTTGGGTTGGGTTACCTATTGGGGATTGGGACTGGATGGGATGGGTTGGGTTGGGAATGGGATTTGGGTTTCTGTTGGGTTTCTTTGTTTCCTTGTTGGGTTTGTCGGTTGGCTGGTGTCTGTTTTTATCTGCCATGTTTGTCTGTTTGTTTGGGTTCATCTGATCTAATCTGATCTGATCTGAGCTGATCTGGGTTGGTTTGGTTTTGGGTGATGTATGGGGTTTTGTTTCGTTTTGGTGACATACCCTCCACTGTCACTGCAAGACTGATTGACTGACTACCTACTCACTGGTTGATGATCTCGGGGGGATTTCTTTGATATGTTTCCTCTTTTTCCCTCTCTCTTGTCTTTTCATAACTGTCCTTGCATGTGATACCTACCTACCACCTTACAACCTGGTTAGAAACGTATGTTGTTGGCCTCTCGCGTTCTCATGTCAGGTCATACTCGTTGTGAATGCTGTTATTGAATCTTGTCTTTATATTGCTGTCATGGTTGTTTGTTGAATCTTTTTGGGATTGGGTTAGTTAGTCGGGCTCAATCTGGTAATATTTGCAAGGAAGCAGATGGTCTGTCTCAGTGCTGTTGCACTCCCTGATCTCAGAGGACGAGAGGCAGTTTGGGCTGGGACGACAATCGGGCCCCTCACAACATCCACAAGGCACCCTCTGTAACCAATAAGGAGGGTGCATGGTCTAGTGGTATGATTTTCGCTTCGCATTTCGTGCATGTGAACGGTCCCCGGTTCGATCCCGGGTGCATCCAACTGAAAGCCTATTTTTTTGATGCCTTCAACAACACCGGGCAACTTATTTTGGGCTGTGACAACGATCAGGCCCCTCACAACATCCACGAGGCGATTCCCTCAACACATAAGGAGGGTGCATGGTCTAGTGGTATGATTTTCGCTTCGCATTGCGCGCATGTGAACGGTCCCCGGTTCGATCCCGGGTGCATCCAACTGATAACCTACTTTTTTAATGCCAACAACAACACCTTGACCAGTACGAGGCAACTCGCGACTCTGGGTGCTCGTAACAACCTGGGCCAGAATGTCACTCTGGTGCTCCCCAGCGTTGAGGATGGGCGCGGATGGCTTCAACCCACTTGATGGTCAAGGCTAAGACCACTGTTTATACCGATGTGCAAGTGTTCGTGGAAGCCATTAGAACCATAACCGAGCGAGAATGACCTCGAGGATGACCCCAAAGGGTCCATCACGCGTAACATCGTACAATACTTCCATACGCTGATCTCATTCATCTACCGCTTTCGCTCGGCGAAAAGGGGAATCGACTGCCTCCCACCCAGCACGCCACCCTTCATGAAGAAGAAGGCCTCCGTCGGCATGCTTCCCGCAGAACACTCAAACTGATGGCGAGTTTGCACCACTGGCTGACTGCGTTCCACTCTGCTCCTCCACAGGCGGTCATGCGGCCTTCGTTTCTGGAGGGCCAGTGTTGTGGAAGTCAAAACGCCAAACCTTTGTGGCCCTGAGCACGATGGAGGCAGAAATTCACGAACATGATGTCAACAGCACTCTTGACAAAATGGGTGGCAAACATCCTCGAGGAGATTGGCTTGTGACGACCAAACGTGAACATCACCTTCACCGATCAATTCATCAAGATGCTTGGAATGGCCTCGAGAAGAGTGCCTTGGTGTCATGAACCGACCATTTGAAGTGGACCAGACGGCTGCAGGTGGCATGCGAGGC